TGCCCACCGGAGGGGAGGAAGCCACAGAGGACAGGGGGTCAGAGATGGCGTGAAGAGGGCAGGTCCTGGGCAGGGCGGCCGCCCCCCGGGGGCTCCCGGCCACCGTCCGCGCCAGGGGAGGACCCCGCGGGCCAGGGCACTGAGCGGCCCGGCCCCCAGTTTGTGCCCGCAGACGGGAACGCGGCCTGCGTGAAGGTGCTGCGGGACATCGAGCCGGGCGACGAGGTGACCTGCTTCTACGGCGAAGGCTTCTTTGGGGAAAAGAACGAGCACTGTGAATGCTACACCTGCGAGAGGTGGGCAGGCGGCGGGGGCGGGCAGGAGGGGAGCGGGACCCCGCCGGCCGAGGGACAACCTCACGGCCCACGTCCCGTCCCCCAGGAGAGGGGAGGGAGCCTTCCGCCTGAGGCCCCGGAAGCCCTGCCCGCCGCAGCCGCTGGACAAGTACCAGCTCCGCGAGACCAAGCGGCGGCTGCTGCAGAGCCTGGGCGGCCGGCTGAGCCCCTGGGCCTGCGCCCACTCGTCTCCGTCGCGCCAGAACCCGTTCTGCGGTGAGCACGGGCAGCCCCATCTGTCGGCCTGTCTCTCTCAGCACCCCCCACCCCCGCGGCCCCCATCCCCTCGGCCTGTCTCTCTCAGCACCCCCCACCCCCGAGGCCCCCGTCCCGTCGGCCTGTCTCTCTCAGCACCCCCCACCCCCGAGGCCCCCGTCCCGTCGGCCTGTCTCTCTCAGCACCCCCCACCCCCGAGGCCCCCATCCCCTCGGCCTGTCTCTCAGCACCCCCCACCCCCGAGGCCCCCATCCCCTCGGCCTGTCTCTCAGCACCCCCCACCCCCGAGGCCCCCATCCCGTCGGCCTGTCTCTCTCAGCACCCCCCACCCCCGTGGCCCCCATCCCGTCAGCCTGTCTCTCTCAGCACCCCCCACCCCCGTGGCCCCCATCCCGTCGGCCTGTCTCTCTCAGTCCCCCCTACCCCCGTGGCCCCCATCCCTTGCCTGCCCTCCTGTCCTGTTCCTGGGCGCCCGGGGGGTGGAGAATGGCCCGACCAGGACCTCTCCCCCTCTCCCCGGGGCCTGCTCACAGGGTCACCCTTTCTCTCCCCCTCCCCTGCCTCCACAGCTGCCTGCCAGCCCCTGCGCCCCCTGCCCTGTGGCACCAGCTCCGACGCTGCGCCCCTCTGGGTCCAGTGGCTGCCGCAGCCCCAGCTATGGGTGCGCCCCCGGAAGCGCAGGCGCCCCCCACCCCGGCGGGCCTCCGCAAGCCCTGTGCTCCGTGCCGCCCGCGTGTCCCTGCACCGGTGGGGAGGCTGTGGCCCCCACTGCTGCCTGCAGGCAGAGGCCCTGGTGGCCCTGGGCTCTGCCCCCCGCGCCCGCTGGAGCCCCCAGCAGGACTGGCACTGGGCCCGGCGGTATGGGCTGCCTTACGTGTTGCGGGTGGACCTGAGCCGGGTGGACCTGAGCCGCGTGGTCCCGGCCCCACCCGCCACAGCCACCTCCCGCCCCGCCCCCGCCCGGCCCCCCGGCCCCAGCCCCATCCCCAAGCAGGCCCTGGCCTTCGCCCCTTTCTCCCCACCCAAGCGCCTGCGGCTGGTGGTCAGCCACGGCTCCATCGACCTGGATGTCAACAGTGACGGACCTTGAGGGGCTGGGCGGCCCTCCGCCTGGCTTCCCAGCCCGAGTTCTCGGGACTCACTGATCTCCAGAAGGAGCTCTCGGGCCTCTAAGAGGCCGCTGACCCTTGACCCCAGCACAGCTCTGACCCGGGGGTAGGGTTGCGTTGGACACCCCCGGGGATCAGACCCCTGATCTGTTGTGACTGCTGACCCCTGAGCCACCCCAACCCCAGCAGGGAGCCCTGGCCATTGCTGCCCCCCCCTCCGTCCCCCGCCCCAGCCTCAGGACTGAAGATGCCACTCCCTCCCCCGCCACCTTCTCTTGCCCAGGGAGCAAAGCCATAGGGGTGGGGGCCACCCCTGGCATCTCCCCAGAAGCCCAGCCTCTGGCGGAGGGGGACTGACTTGGGGGTGGAGACTGCCCCACGGGGGGAGTGGGTCAGCTCTCAGCTTTGTGACTGTCTGAGGTGGGGGGCAAGGTGGGGGTGTCCACTCACCCTCGCCACCCCCATGGGTCTCAGGGAGGCCGGGTGTGACCTCATCTTTCTCATGGTGCTATCCCTGGTGCTACTGGGGTGTGGGGGGCTCCCTCCCCTCCCCCACACCAGAACGGGGTATGTTGGGGGATTGGAAGCACTTGAACTTTTTATTTTATTAAAACCTTGTTACAAGCTTCACCCGTGGAAGCCTTTCCTTTTATTTCTATTTCGAGGGCGTGTCCATCGGGTGGGCGGGGCCCTCAGCCGGGCTGGGGACACCAGGCCCAGAGGAGGCAGGGCAGCCCAGGCTTTGGGCCCGGGGAGCTTGGGCGTGTGAAGAGAAGCCTGGGGCTGGAGTGACTGGGTCTCAGGAGGGAAGGCACCCAGGACCTTTGTTGCAGCGGACAGCCATCGCCTGCCACGTGCATCCTGCATCCGGTGTCGGTCGGTCTCCGGGGCAGTGGCAGCCCGGCCGGGGTTACCCCCTTGCCTGAGGTCGCACCACTGGGTGGCCCCAGGGCAGATGGCGTCCAACCAGGAGCTTGGAAGTGCGGGGCGTTCAAGTCAGGTCCCCTGAGCTGACAGGGTCTGGGGTGTCCCTAGGAAGTTGGGCTGGCCTCAGAGGCCCACCATGGTAGCCCAAGCCCAGGGGGAGGGGCATGTGGATGGGGTCAGTCCTGGGGCTGCCGGCCAGGTGACTTCCGCCATCCAATGCGGTTTTGGGCCATAGTGATGCTGGGTGCCTCCGGTTGTCTGTATAGACAGAGACCCTGCACGCCCTGCAAGAGGACCCACCGCATCCTCCCCCCAGCATCGATGAAACACATTTTATGTTTTTAAAACTTTTTATTGATTTTTAGAGAGAAAGGAAGGGAGGAAGAGAAACATTCACGTGAGAGCAGCACATCATAGCTCAGCCCAGCCAGCGTGGCTCAGTGGTTGAGCGCTGACCTATGAACCAGGAGGTCACGGTTCGATTCTCCGTCAGGGCACATGCCCCGGTTGTGGGCTGAATCCTCAGTGTGGGGCCTGCAGGAGGCAGCCGATCGATGATTCTCATCATTGATGTTTCTATCTCTTTCTCCCTCTCCCTTTCTCTCTGAAATCAATAAAATGGCTTTAGATCTATATTTCAAAAATACATCACTTTAAAATTAAATGTCCCAGAGGTGACGGAGGGATGGTGGTGGGGAGGATGCCTGGCCCAAGAGGGAGTGAAGGCAGGAGACTGGGAGGGGCCGCTGGCTAGCGGGGCCAGGTGCACTGGAGGCCTGTGCTCTGTGAGGTCCGGAGCCGGCTGGGCGGCACAGGTGTCTGCCCTGTGCTCGCTCGCCACCTGGGTGACCTCACCGGGTGCTCAGACCGCCGTCACCCGGCCTGTGACTCAGAGCTGCCTTGCCCGCGTGGCACCAGGCCTGCTTCTTCTGTAGCCCTGCGGCCTCCATGCAGGGAGCTCCCAGGAGGCCCCTCCTGTGGCGCTACGTCCGTGTGGCCGGGTGCGCACCCTACCCTGCGCCCTGTCCTCCTGCTTCTCCCGTCCTGGTCTGAGAGAGCATCCCTGGGGGCCAAGGTCTTGGGGTGGGGCATCTGGGAGATGGCACACCTGGGGTGTGCCCAGGGTGGGGTGATGAGGGCATGGAGGGGGTGAGGGGCCCGGACGGCGCTGGCTCTCCCCTGAGCTGACCCGGCCCCTCCCGTCGTCTCTCCGGATCATGGGACTTGGATCAGTATCTCCTTTACAGCTGGGGAAACTGGGTCAGGTTACAGCTGAGGTGCAGGCAGGTCAACGGGCTGGACCAGGGTCACCCAGAAAGTTGTATGATTAGCAACAGCCACCTTTGAACGTTGGGTTGAAGGGGCTTCCGAGGCGGCCACGGCTGCGGGCAGAAGCTGCCATTCAATGTTCCCGGGCTGGGGCGTGGGCTGGCGGGCAGGCAGGGCCAGCCCAGTCCCCGAAAGGGTCCCTCCTCAGCCTGGGCCCGAGGTGAAGGGGGCCGGAGAGGTGACATTGCGAGGGGGTGTCTAAGTCAGGAGGAAACACATCACCGAATTGTCACCTGAGAGCCTGGCTGTGGGAAGCAAAGGCTAATTCAGGGGCCCGGCCGCCTCCATGGTTGAGCCTCGCTGTGAACCAGGGGGTCAGGGTTCAATTCCCGGTCAGGGCACGCCGGAGATTGCGGGCTCCATCCCCAGTGTGGGGCGTGCAGGAAGCAGCCGATCCATGATTCCCTCATCACTGATGTTTCTATCTCCCTCTCAGAAATCAATACAAATATTTTTTAAAAACAATTCCGGTGGGGCCTCTGAGCGCCCCGGAGCGCAGTCCGCAGGGTCGGCGGGAGGAAGGGGGTGACTGTCTGGAGCGGGTGGGAGGAGGCTGCCCGGCGCGGAGGGTGCGGTGGGAGAGGCCAGAGGGAGGAGCTGTGAGCAGGGCTCACCTGCCGGGATTGGAGTCATGGGGGCCGGAGAGCGCGGAGAGCCCGGAAAAGGTTGGGAGCAGGGCAAGGGCGGGGGGAATGGGGTTCTTAGCGCTGGGTGGGCCTGAGGTGGGGGGCCTGGGGCAGAGGGACAGAAAGCCTGGCGGAGGCCGGGAGGCGGTCCAGGTAAGAGAAGCTGCTGAGGACGGAGATGGAGGGTTCAGGTGACAGGCAGGTGTGGCGGTTGGGAGGCGGAGCACCCTGCGGCCCGGCTGGTGGGCGAGTGTTGCATCCGGAGAGCTGGCGGCTGCTGCCTGGGGGCGGGGGGGCGGGGGGGCTGGCGGGTTTGCTCCTACCCCGGAGATCCGACAGTCCTCCCTTCATCCCAGCCCTGACGGGGCGCAGCCCGCCGCCGGCCCTCGTCATCGGAACTCGGGCTGCGCAGGGAGCAGACAGCGGAAGAACCGGCGGCAACGGCACAGCTTTATTTGTGGCTCAGAGACCTGGGGGTGGGGGGCCGGGGCCAGGTCTCGGGGAGACGAAGGGATGGGGCCCTTGGCCGGTCCCTCGGAGCCGCGAGCGGACGGTCAGATTTTCCCCGCGAAGGTCCCGTCCTGGATCTGCTCGGTCCAGCGCTGCACCTGGGGAGGCGCGGGCGGGAGGCAGGGCGCCGCTCAGCTCCGCCCGCCTCCCTCAGCCGGTCCCCCCGCCGCCGCGGCTGCTCTGCCCGCTCACCCAGCTGACGGGGCACAGCGAGTGGAACACGTGGTAGTAGTACTCGCAGGGCTGCGTGCTCTTCCCGCGGCGGTTCATCTTCTGGACGCAGCGGTGGAAGTCTGCGGGGGAGACGGCGTGGGTGCGGCCGCGCCAAACTCCCCGCCCCTCCTGCCCAGGTCCCGCCCCCTCCGACCAGACACCGTCTTTCTTTAAAAAATACATATTTTTTAAACATACTTTTATTTTTTTACAGAGAGGAAGGGAGAAGGCTAGAGAGTTAGAAACATCGATGAGAGAGAAACATCGATCAGCTGCCTCCTGCACACCTCCTACTGGGGATATGCCTGCAACCCAGGTACATGCCCTTGACCAGAATCGAACCTGGGACCTTTCAGTCCACAGGCCGACGCTCTATCCACTGAGCCAAACCGGTCAGGGCAAAATATATTTTTAAAATTCATTTCAGAGAGGAAGGGAGAAGGAGAGATAGAAACATCAGTGATGATGCGGAAACCGGTTTGGCTCAGTGGATAGAGCGTCGGCCTGTGGACTGAAAGGTCCCAGGTTCGATTCTGGGCAAGGGCATGTACCTTGGTTGCAGGCACATCCCCAGTAGGGAGTATGCAGGAGGCAGCTGATCGATGTTTCTCTCTCATCGATGTTTCTCTCTTATCGATGTTTCTAACTATCTCTCTCACTTCCTCTCTGTAAAAAATCAACAAAATATATTAAAAAAAAAAATCAGTGATGAAAGGAAATCACTGATGCCCGCCACAGTGGCTCAGTGGTTGAGCATCGACCTATGAACCAGGAGGTCACGGTTGGATTCCTGGTCAGGGCACATGCCCAGGTGCAGGCTCCATTTCCAATCGTGCAGGAGGCAGCCAATCAATGATTCTCGCTCATCATTGACGTTTCTCTCTCTCTCTCCCTTCCTCTCCGGAATCAATACAAATACATATTTTTAAAAATAAAGAAAAGAAAAAAAAATCATTGATGGGCTGCTGCCTACACGCCCCCTACTGGGGATGGAGCGCACAACCAGCGCATGTGCCCTGACGGAATGGAACCGTGACCTCCTGGTAATGGAACCGTGACCTCCCGGTTCGTAGGTTGATGCTTAACCATCTGAGCCACACCAGCAGGTCCCCGCCCCTCCTGACCAGGCCCCTCCCCCTCCCTACCGGACCCCTTCTTTTCACTCCAGGACAGTGCCCTCTTCTCCATCCCTACCCGCTCCACCCCAAGCCCCGCCCCCACAGGTCGGTCCCATCCTCTCCGAACCAGGCCCCGCCCCCTCGCTGTCAGACACTATCGCCTTCGCCCCGCCATGACTTGGTCACGTGCCTCCAGAATAGGCCCCGCCCCCACGCGAATCAACCACGCCTCCACAAACAGGCCCCGCCCACTTGCGACCAGGCCTCACCCCTCCTGGCCAGGCCCCATCTCCCTCTCTACCTCCTAGGCCCCGCCCACCCGATCAAGCCCCGCCCACGCGATCCCGCCCCTAACCGATAGTCCCCGCCCCTTCCACCCGGGCTCGCTCCGCCCCCCACCCCAACGGTCTCCGCTCCCACCGGGAGCCCCGGCCCCTATCCCGTGCTCAGGAGTTGGGGAGCGCCCCCCTTCCTGCCTCCCCGCCTCACCCCGCTCCCCTCCCCGCCCGCCAGGGCTCACCCAGGAAGTTCTGGTAGCAGTTGCGGGTCTGGTTCTGGTTGGGGAAGCGCGGGTCGAAGGGCGGCGTGGGCCTTCGCCGCTTGGAGGGCTTCTCCGCGTCGGGCATGCTCCTGCGGGGAGGAGGGGCTTCGTGGGGCCCAGGGGGAGCCCCTCGCTCCGAATCGCACTCACCTCCTGACCCCACCCCCCCATCCCGAAACCCAGCCCCGGTCCCCCCGCTCCCCCCGTCCCGTCCTCACTAGGCTGATGGGTCGCTGGCGGCTGTGGCTGCGTCCGGGACGCCCCTCGTTTCTGAGTCTCGAGGGTCCCAGCCCAGGCAAACCACGCCCCCTCCGCCTTATTGGCTGAGACGCCGGAACCCCAGCCAATGGGAGCAGCTGCGCCGCGTGGACCCTCCCCCCGCCTCCTCCCCGCTCCCCCCGCCTCCAGCCCCGAGTCCGCTCCCAGGGCCCCCGGTGCGCACACAAGCTCGAGGCTCGACGTTTCCCGCGTCTCCGACTCGGGCTTTTAATCTCTGCGAAGCTGGGCCGCCCCGGGGATCCTCCCCGGCCCGCCCCCCGCCCCCCAATATATAAATGTACAGAGAGCTCTGTTCTCTACTGGAGCCGAGGCGCCCCCCGCCCGGCCTGGCCAGCATCCGTCTTCTTCACGTAGCGCCCACGGCGCCGGGGGCCTGCGGGGAAGAGCCAAGAGCGCGCGGGTGGGGTCCGGCGCCGGGACTCCGCGCCGGGGGGAAGGCGGGTCTGGGGGTGTCAGGGGCTACCTGGCCACATTGGATCCCTCCGGACCTTGTAGCGACTGAGTGCGATCCCGGATCCGGCTACTGAAAGCGCTGAGCTCCATGCTTGCTGGGGAGAGGGCAGTGCGCGCTCAGTAAGCACACTGAACGGAGGAACGGGCAAGCCTGAGCTGCCATCCGGGCTTCCACCGCCTCCCGGTGTCCCCTCCGAGGGCGCTCGTCCTCCTGCCTCGCTGTTGTCAAGCCTGACTCTGCAGCCTTCACCCCCACATCCAAGTGCGCGAATATCTCTTTCCGCTTAAGGAGCCCCCCTTGCGCCCACGCCCTACACCAGTGGCCTCTCCAAGGCCCCCCTCCCCTCCTTCCCCACCCTCCCAGCAAACTCCTGGGACAGAGCTGGGCCGGGAGTCCCCTCCACGTGTCTACGCCTGGTCGGGAAATACATATTGCATAACATTTACCATGGTGACCCGTTTAAAGTGGCATTAAGAACATTCTCAATGGCCGGACAGGCGTGGCTCAGTGGTTGAGCGTCCACCCATGAACCAGGAGGTCACGGTAGGATTCCTGGCCAGGGTTTCGGGCTCCATCCCCAGTAGGGGGCTCGCAGGAGGCAGCCCATCCATGATTGTTTCTCATCATTGATGTTTCTCTCTCTCCCTCTCCCTTCCTCTCTGAAATGAATAAAAAATGTATTTTTTAAAAATAACATTCTCCATGTCCTGCAACTATAGCCTTTATCAAGGCCCGGAGCATTTTCATTGCCCCCCCCCCCCAGAGAAAACCCCATACCCACCAGCAGTCCCTCCCCAGGCCCCACCCCTCTCTCGGCAACCATTAACTTCTTTATTTTTATATATAAATATATTTTGTTGATTTTTACAGAGAGGAAAGGAGAGGGATAGAGAGTTAGAAACATCGATGAGAGAGACACTCCATCAGCTGCCTCCTGCACACTCCTCAACGGGGATGTGCCTGCAACCAAGGTACATGCCCTTGACCGGAATCAAACCTGGGACCCTTCAGTCTGTAGGCCGACGCTCTGTCCACTGAGCCACACCGGTTAGGGCGGGGCAACCACTAACTTCTGTCTGTGTCTCCAGGTTGGCCTGTCCTGCAAGTGGCATCAGACACCGTGGCGCTGGCCTTGGTGTCTGGCTCCACTCACTGGGCGTCCGTCCTGTTTTCTTTCTTTCTTTCTATTTATTTATTTTCTTATTTTTTAAAATATATTTTTATTGATTTCAGAGAGGAAGGAGGAGAGAGAGAGAGAGAGAGAGAGAGAGAGAGAGAGAGAGAGAGAGGCATCCACGATGAGAGGGAATCATGGATCGGCTGCCTCCTGCAGGGCCCCTACTGGGGATGGAGCCCGCAACCCGGACATGTGCCCTTGACCGGAACCTGACGCTCTATCCACGGAGCCAAACCGGCTAGGGCTGGGCGTCCTGTTTGCAAGGGTGGCAGTGTGAGTCCCCGCGTTCCGTGGGCCCTCAGCCTGCCCCTCCGGTCTCCACCGCGGCCATGTCACCTTGCTGAGGGCCCCGCGGGCCCTTCCCGCCCACGTACCTGGGCCAGGGCGTGAAGACAGGCCGTCTGGCCTTTGTCTGCTCCATCGCGCTGGCCGTGTTCCTCCCCTTCTCAAGTTCCAGGAGCCTGGGCACCAGGCTCTCCAGGGGCGGCCCCCCTTCCGCCTCCGCAGCTTCTCTGTGGAGCTTTTGGGACACCATGGCCTCCATCTTGGAGATGGGCGAGGGCACGGCGGGCGATGGCACGTCCTCCCACCTCGTCGCGGGCAGGGGGATGGGGGCCCGGGACACTCTGTCCAGCTTGGGGCTTCTGGGGACGCTCGGGCAGCGGGGGCGCACCTTGAAGGAGCCCCTCTGGGCCGAGGGCAGCTTCTCCTGCTCTGCCGCCGCCGCCTGCGTGCTCAGTGTCTCCTCCACCAACAGGCCCACGCCCCCCTTCACCCAGGGCCCCATCCGGGGCTGCTCGGGGGCCGCCTGTCGGGGGCCGAGGGGCTTTGGGCCCCTGGTTGACCGGGCCAACGCCTGGGGAAACCAGAGCCAGGACGGCAGCCCGAACAGCCTCGGTCTCAAGGGCGGCTCCTTGGCCTTGGCCACGATCGCCATCCTGGCCAGGGTGAGGTCCTCCACGGAGAAGGGCCTCCCGGGCGCCCCCGGGGCCCCCTCCACCGCCAGCTGCTGCGTCTTCACCCACTTCCTCCGCTGCCCCGTCGCCTGGGACCTGAGGCCGGGCAGGTCCACCAGCCTCTCCTCCTTGGAGCTGCGGAGCCTGTCCTCCACCTGGGCCCTGCCCTTCAGGCCGTCCAGGGCGACCTCGTGGGTCCTGCCCACCACCACCTCCTCGATCTCCCTCCGGGCCGTGTGGCCGGGCAGCTCCAGCGACATCTTCTGGGCCCACACCTCCGTGACCTGGGTCTCCTGGGTGCCCACCAGCACCGGGGGCTCCGTCTTCCCTTCGGGCTGGCTGCTCTCCAGCGCCACCCCCGCCTGGCTGCCCGCCGGCCCCGCGCCCAAGTGGGCAGAGTCGCAGGCCATCTGGTAGCAGGTGCCCGGGGTCAGCGCCTGTGGCGATGGGGACGACAGGGACCCTGGTTCCGGGCAGGGGACAGGACGAGACGCGGCCTTCCGGGGAATGGCCGCAAACCGGGGGGTCTTCCATGGGGCCCGGCCAGCTGGGGCTTTCCGGGGGGCAGAAGCTAGAGCTGGGGTCTTCTTGGGGGCAGCAGGTCCCGCCGGGGCCTCCCGAGATGGAGCCAGTTCCGCTGGGACCTTCTGGGGGTGCTCACGGGTGGCCGGAGCCTTCCGGGAGGCGGCCTGGGGCGAGGGGGTCTTCGGGGTGGGCGGGGGCCGTGGCCTGTGCGCGGGGTCCTGGGGCCAGGCCTGGCTGCCCTGACTGGGGCTGGAGGTGCAGGAGGTCAGGCAGAGGCTGGGAGAGGGGGTGGGCGGGTAGAGGGTGCTGGAGGACAGGGTGCTGGAGTCGGGGTCCGCCAGGTCCCCTCGCATATACACGTGCTTGTAGGAGACCAGCAAGGACACGTCAGTGCTGTTCGAGACACCAGGTGAAGGGGCCTCAACTAACCCGCCAAGCACCGTCGCCCCGGCAGGTGAGCATCCCTGGAGACAGAGGGAGGCCAGGGAGAGGGCGGTCAGGCCGGCAGCCTCTCAGACACAGCCCAGGCCCCATCGCCCTCCTCCCTCAGACCCAGGAGTCCAGCCCCTCCTCCCTCAGACCCAGGAGTCCAGCCCCTCCTCCCTCAGACCCAGGAGTCCAGGCCCCATCGCCCTCCTCCCTCAGACCCAGGAGTCCAGCCCCTCCTCCCTCAGACCCAGGAGTCCAGGCCCCATTGCCCTCCTCCCTCAGACCCAGGAGTCCAGGCCCCATTGCCCTCCTCCCTCAGACCCAGGAGTCCAGGCCCCATTGCCCTCCTCCCTCAAACCCAGGAGTCCAGGCCCCATTGCCCTCCTCCCTCAGACCCAGGAGTCCAGACCCCCAGACCCTCCTCCCTCAGACCCAGGAGCCCAGGCCCCCAGCCCCTCCTCCCTCAGACCCAGGAGTCCAGGAGTCCAGCCCCCTCCTCCCTCAGACCCAGGAGTCCAGACCCCCAGACCCTCCTCCCTCAGACCCAGGAGCCCAGCCCCTCCTCCCTCACACCCAGGAGCCCAGGCCCCCAGCCCCTCCTCCCTCAAACCCAGGAGTCCAGACCCCCAGACCCTCCTCCCTCAGACCCGGGAGCCCAGGCCCCCAGTCCCTCCTCCCTCAGACCCAGAGTCCAGGCCCCCAGCCCTCCTCCCTCAGACCCAGGAGTCCAGACCCCCAGACCCTCCTCCCTCAACCCAGGAGCCCAGGCCCCCAGCCCTCCTCCCTCAAACCCAGGAGTCCAGACCCCCAGACCCTCCTCCCTCAAACCAGGTCAGCCCCCACCGGCCCCCAGCCCCTCCTCCCTCAAACCCAGGAGTCCAGACCCCCAGACCCTCCTCCCTCAAACCCAGGAGCCCAGGTCCCCAGCCCCTCCTCCCTCAAACCCAGGAGTCCAGACCCCAGACCCTCCTCCCTCAAACCCAGGAGCCCAGGCCCCCAGCCCTCCTCCCTCAAACCCAGGAGTCCAGACCCCCAGACCCTCCTCCCTCAAACCCAGGAATCCAGACCCCATTGCCCTCCTCCCTCAGACCCAGGAGTCCAGACCCCCAGACCCTCCTCCCTCAGACCCAGGAGCCCAGGCCCCCAGCCCCTCCTCCCTCAGACCCAGGAGTCCAGACCCCCAGTCCCTCCTCCCTCAGACCCAGAGTCCAGGCCCCCAGCCCTCCTCCCTCAGACCCAGGAGTCCAGACCCCCAGACCCTCCTCCCTCAAACCCAGGAGTCCAGACCCCCAGACCCTCCTCCCTCAAACCCAGGAGCCCAGCCCCTCCTCCCTCAGACCCAGGAGCCCAGCCCCTCCTCCCTCAGACCCAGGAGCCCAGCCCCTCCTCCCTCAGACCCAGGAGCCCAGCCCCTCCCCCTCAGATCTAAGAGTTGGGCTCCTGGCCCCCAGTATATAGGTGCCTTGGGAGAGGACAGCTGTGAGCTGAAAGTTCTGGAAAAGATGCTGAAGATGGTCCTGATGGTGACGTTGGGCTTCACTGGGGCGGAGGGGACCGGGCCCTTCACTGTGGGGGAGAGGGGGTGGGGGGGCGGAAGGGAGGGGGGGAGAAGCAGCCTGAGCTCTGAGAAAGGACCAGCACCTCGGGGTCCTTTCTCAGAGGCGAGGGGCGGGCGTGCTCACCAGAGACGGCGGCTTTGGTCTGAGAGCCGTGACTGCCGGGGTCGGGGCGGGACCTGTGGGCACAGGGCGGTGGGACTGGGCTCGGTCCCCCTCCCCCTCCCACCGCCGGGTGGGGGGACCACCCAGCCCTGAGCCTACTTTTTCTCGGAGGCTTTCTTCCTGGCGCTGGGGGGCTCCAGCTGCGACCAGATGAGGGGCACCGAGTCACCCACGGCCTGGGACTTGAACCTTCTCTGGAGGGGCTGGGAGGGGGCGCAGGCCGGAGAGGGGGCGCAGCACGCCGCCCCGCGGTCCGGCTGGGGCCGGCTGGCCTTGGCCTTCTTCTGCTTGGGCGACGTCAGCATCTTGGGAAGAGCCGCGGCCACGGCTGGAGGGAGAGGGGGACACCGGTGTCAGGTCCCCGCCGCGGGAGAGGCTGGGAGGAGGCGCGTGGGGCTGAGCCAGGGTCAGAGGGAAGGACTAGGGCTGTCGCCGGCGCTGGAACCTCGCCCGCCCGGCCGGCCTCGGCGGAGGAGAAGCTGAGATGCAGAAACCCGAGGGAGGCAGCCTGCTCACCTGAGCGTCTCCGGCGGGGCTGGTTCTGTGGACCAAGGGGGGCAGTCAGGAGGGGCCACCTCTTCCTGCTTCCACAGCCCCTTGAGTACAGGGCCTAAGGCTCCAGGCCCCCAGCCCCTCCTCCCTCAGACCCAGGAGTCCAGCCCCCAGCCTCCTCCCTCAGACCCAGGAGTCCAGGCCCCCAGCCCCTCCTCCCTCAGACCCAGGAGTCCAGGCCCCCAGCCTCCTCCCTCAGACTAGCTGACCCATCCCACACCCCCTCCCCCGCCCCATTCCTGGGGCTCCTGGACTCCTGGCTCCTGGTCCATGCTCCCTTTGGACTCCAGACCCACACCTGCCCCCGGGGTCTGTGTCATGGCCCCACCTGGAGGAGCCAGGTGGAGGCAGGAGGGGCCACGTAGGCCAGGTCTGAGAGGGGTGTGTGCAGGGTCCGGGGGGCCCAGCAGGCGGTGGGCTCCTGCAGCAGGTTGATGAGGCGGATCCAGCGGTCAAACAGAAAGGCCATCTCCCTGTCGGGGGCGTTCAGCTCCAGGTAGTAGTAGCGGCCTGTGAGCAAGCGCAGCTTCAGGCACCGGCCCGGCCGGTTGTGGACATAGAGGCGAACCAGGTCCAGCGGGATCATCCTGGGGGCAGGAGAGAGAAGGTAGAGGGGGAGGGGGAGGAGGCAGAGGGGAGGTGGAGGAGGTAGAGGGGAGATGGAGGAGGCAGAGGGGAGAGGGAGGAGGCAGAGGGGGAGGAGGTAGAGGGGGAGATGGGGGAGGCAGAGGGGAAGGGGGAGGAGGCAGATGGGGAGGGGAGGAGGTAGAGGGGAGGGGGAGGAGGTAGAGGGGAGATGGAGGAGGCAGAGGGGAGGGGGAGGAGGTAGAGGGGAGATGGAGGAGGCAGAGGGGAGATGGAGGAGGGAGATGGGAGGGTGAGATGGAGGAGAGAAGGGGAGGAGGAGTAGAAGGAGGGAGAGGAGGAGGGGGAGGGAGGGGGAGGGGGAGGAAGGGGGAGGAGGGAGAAAGGGGAGGTAGGGAAGGGCAGGGGGCGGGGGGGAGGGAGGAGGTAGCTGGGACCGAGGGCACCTGGTGAGGATGAGGTTGGAGCAGTCCGGGCTCTCAGAGGGCCTGGCGATGAGCAGGAGGTCGGGCAGCACCGGGCCAGGCAGCGAGGCAGCCACGCCCATGGTCAGATGGTTGGTTCTGTGGTGCACGTACACAGGGGCCCCTCGACTGGTCACCTGGGGCACGGGGAGAGGGGCTGGGGCCAGTCCTCCCTGCAGTGCCCCTGAGGCACCCCCAGCCCCAGCCCCAGCCCCCTGAGTGTCCAACTGCCCCTGACCCCCCCACCCCCAGCCCAGGGGCCCCTGGCCCTGCCCCACTCTGCCCGCGGGGCTCAGGGAGCTGGGAACCTGCACAAAGTTACTCTCGAACATGGGCAGCGGGCGGAGGGGCAGGTAGTCGCCCATCTGCAGGGTCCTCTGCAGCTGGCCCAGGATGGGGACCCACGTCGGGGGGCCTGGCAGGGGGTCCACGCGCCTCGTGTTCCAAAGCCTGTTCATGGCGGCTGCAGAAAGGGGGGTGCCCCGGGGCTCCGAGTCAGGGACCCGGCACCCTCCAGCCCACTGGCCTGGGCCCCCAGCTCAGCGGCTGCAGGAGGTGGGGCTCCCCAGGGCTGGGCCATGGCCCTGCGGGTGCTCTGCCCGGCCTGGGGGAGGAGCCTTCCGTGGAGGGGCTTTGTGACCTCATCGGACACACAGAGGGCTCTTCCTGGGAAGTCTCCCCGGCCACGGCTCCCCTCTCCCCTGGGGACGGGGCCTGAGGACGGACGGGGAGGTGGGGGTGAACCCCAAGGCCCTGCCCCAGGCTCCACCTGGAGACAAGACAGGACCCCCCGGGGGGGTCTGTCTGTGATGTTGCAAATGGACAGTGAACCAAAGGGTTTATTTTATTTTTAATATATTATTATTGATTTCAGAGACGAAGAGAGAGGGAGATGGAGAGAAACATCCATAATGAGAGAGAATCATGGATCGGCTGCCTCCTGCACGCCCCACACTGGGGATCGACTGCAACCCGGGCCTGTGACCTGACGAGGTGGGGGGAATGGAACTGTGACCTCCTGGTTCATAGGTCGATGCTCAACCACTGAGCCATACCGGCCACGGGGCCATCAAAGGGTTTCTGACCCTTAAGAGGAGAGTCCGGAATACGGCCCCACTCACAATGGACCCTTCTCTGGAGCTTGAGTAAGACCCAGGCTCCCACCCAGCCTCGGTTTCCCCGTGTGGAACGCACTTGTGTCTGTGGTCACGGTTGCTGTATATTGACTTACAAGGAAAGGGACCCAGCCTTTGCAATGAGCCAGAGCTGTGGCAGGACCACCCGTTGTCTCTCTAGCTGCGTGACCTTGAACAACAGGCCCCCAGCCTCAATTTCCCTCACCCGTGAAATGGGTGCATTAGGACCCAAGGGGTCAGAGTAAAACCCTGCCCCTGGGGCCCAGCCCAGAGCGGGTCCGACTGGGGATGGAGCCCGCAACCTGGGCATGTGCCTTTGACTGGGAATTGAACCAAGACCCTTCAGTCTGCAGGCCAATGCTCTATCCGCTGAGCTAAACCAGCTAGGGCTGTTTTTATTGATTTCAGAGAGGGAGGGGGAGGGAGAGAGGGAGAGAAACATCGATTGGCTGCCTCCTGCACGTCCCCCACTGGGGATCAAGCCCACAATCAGGGCATGTGCTCTGACCGGGAATCAGCCAGCGACCTTTGGGTGCACAGGGACGATGCTCAACCAACTCAGCCACCGGCCAGGGTCTTCCATTAAGTATTTATTGGATCAACTTCAAAGTGCTGGGCACCAAGGGCAGCTCAAGCCCCTGCCCCTCAGGGTTCAGGGTGGCTGATGGTCTCCCCTCTGCGGCCTTGGCCTTGCACACTCAGGGTCCCTCCCTCTCCCCGCCCGGGGCCCCCCGGCGTCCAGCCCCCAGCCATCAACCCCATAGAAACAGCCTCCGAGTGGGTGTGTATGACATTTAATTCTCCCTTCTCCAGCTCACAAAGGCGTCTCACGTGTTTGTACAAAAACCCAGGCCTCCTCTCCCCCTCCCTCCCCACCCCGTCGCAAAAAGGAATAGTTTAATAAATAACATACGCCCCTGCTCAGGCCCAGAGGAGTGGGGGCCAGACCTGGGGATCCAAGAACCCCGGGACCCCAGGCCCCTCCCGCTGGGGACCCCCGAGTCCACCTGCCTCCCACCCACCCCTGGAAATAAATAAGTATAAATAAGGCACGGGTGTCCCCTGGAGGGACCCTCTCTAAATAGGGGAGATGCGGGAGGGGTCCTCTGGCTGCCACGCCCCCAGTCCCGAAATAAATAAATAAATAAGGTCTGGCGGTGAAGGGCGAGGTGGCTTCCGGGGCCGAGGGTCACAGCCTGGTCTTGAGCAGCAGCAGGCCCCGCACGGCCCAGTCCAGCGTCAGGTGCAGGCCCCCCAGGATGGCATGGGCCGCCCGGATGCCTCCCCAGGCCGAGGCCGGCGGGGCCAGGGGGGGGCGCCGGCGGGTCTGGGGGCGCCTGGGGCAGGGCCAGGCGGGCCATCTGTTGGGAGAGGACAGAGGGTTAGGGGCAGGCCAGGGGTGCAGCGGGGGGCCGGGGAGGGGTGCTTGCAGCCTCCGCTGAATCAGGTTGGGGGTCCAGGCTGCGTATGTGCAGGGTGTCTGTGGCCTCCGGGGCGGGGGTGTGGGTAGGGTATATTTTTTCTAGGATTGCCTTTTTTTAAAAAATCCTCTCCCGAGGATATTTTTCCATTGGTTTTTCTTTTTAAATATATTTTTTATTGATTTCAGAGAGAGGAAGGGAGAGGGAGATAGAAACATTAATGGTGAGAGAGAATCATTGATCAGCTGCCTCCTGCACGCCCCCCACTGGGGATCAAGCTCACAATCCCAGCATGTGCCCTTCACCGGAATCGACCCGGGACCCTTCAGTTCATAGGCCAATGCTCTATCCACTGAGCTAAACCAGCTAGGGCTTTTCCCATTGATTTTTAGGGAGAGTGGGAGAGAGAGAGACAGAGAGAGAGAGAGAGACATCGATGTGAGAGAAACATCGATTGGTTGCCTCCTGCACGAGCCCTGACCAGAGCCTGGACTGGGGAGGAGCCTGCAACCAAGGTAGGTGCCCTTGACCAGAATCGAACCCGGGACCCTTTGGTCCACAGGCTAATGCTCTATTCATTGAGCCAAACCAGCGAGGGCTCTAGGATTTTTTAAAAAATATTTTAAAATTGATTTTTGGAAAGAGAGGAAGGGAGAGGGAGAGAGAGAGAAACAGCGATGTGAGAGTGTAACATTGATTGGCTGCCTCCTGCACGCCCCCTCCCAGGGACTGAGCCTCCAAACTGGGAATGTTGGGTTCAGAAAGCAACCAGAGGCTGTGCCCAGGAGGTGGGGATCTTAAGGCCGAGGGTCCAGGGCCACATCCAGGGGGGTGGGGGCCAGGTCCGGAGAGTCAGGGTGGACCCTGGTGCTGGGTGGGGTGGGCGCTGCGGCCTCACATGGGGGCCGGGCCTGGGTCTGAGGCTGGGGTCTTAGATCTCAGGGACTCTGGGGTGAGGGCTGGGCCTCGATGGGTCTCAGACCTGGGAGCTGGAGTTTGGGGTCCAAGGTGTTGGGGCTGAGGCCCAGGGCCCTTAGGGTCTTAGGTCTGTGGCTTTAAAAGGCCCTCAGGGTCTGGGTGGTCTCAAGGGCTCACAACCAGGATTAGAAGTCCCGGTGGCTCAGGGCTCAAGGCCTGGGGTCTTTTGTTGTTGTTAATCCTCACTCCAGTATATTTTTCCATTGATTATTAGAGAGAGTGGGAGAGAGAGGGAAAGACAGAGAAGCATCGATGTGAGAGAAACACATCAATTGGTCGCCTCCTGCACGCACCCTGACCAGGGCCCAGGCCGGGAAGGACCTGCAACTAAAGTACATGCCCTTGCTCTGGCTGGTGTGGTTCAGTGGGTAGAGCGTTGGCCTGTGGACTGAAGGGTCCCGGGTTCGATTCCGGTTGAGGGCACATGCCCTGGTTTCGGGCTCGATCCCCAGTGGGGGGCGTGCAGGAGGCAGCCCATCAATGATTCTCTTCATTGATGTTTCTATCTTTCTCTCCCTCTCCCTTCCTCTCTGAAATCAGTAAAAATATATTTTAAAAAAATAAATAGCCCTAACCGGTTTGGCTCAGTGGGTAGAGCGTCGGCCTGTGGACTGAAGGGTCCCAGTTTGATTCTGGTCAAAGGCATGTACCTTGATTGCGGGCACATCCTCAGTAGGGGGTGTGCAGGAGGCAGCTGATCGATGTTTCTCTCTCATCGACGTTTCTAACTATCCCTCTCCCTTCCTCTCTGTAAAAAAAAAAAATCAATAAAATATTTAATAAATAAATAAATAAAGTACGTGCCCTGGACTGGACTCGAACCTGGGACACTTTGGTCCACAGGCCGACGCTCTATCCACTGAGCCACACCGGCCAGGGCGAGGCCTGGGGTCTTACAGTCTCTGACCTCAGGGCCCAGCTGCGTGGGGGCTGGGGCTTGCCCGGGACCTGGGAATCTGGGGGCTGGAGGCTCAGTTTCGGGGGCTCGGCGTCTGGAATGCAGTGTCTTGGGCCAGAGGTCTGACCCGTCTTAGGGCTTCAGGGTGGGGATTTTGGGGCCTCGAGTTCCCGGGGCTCTCTGTTTCGAGGGCAGGATTTGGCAGTCTGGGCCTCGGGTCTCAGGCCCCCGGGGTCTTGGGGACACAGGGGGAGGGCCTCGGAGCAGGGGCGCCCTACCAGGAGCTGCAGCCGCCGCAGCAGCCGGTCCAGCCGGGCCTGCAGGGCCCCCAGCTCGGGCTCCAGGGTCCGCAGGGACGGGCCGCCCGCCCGGCGCAGCCACTGCACGTGCCTCAGGTAGGAGAACAGGTCGGCCCGCAGCCGCGTCAGCACGCCGGGGAGCTGGGGGACAGGCCGGGAGTGGGGGTCAGGAGCGCCTGGCCCATGCCCGCCCCGGTTCCCCGGGACCCCTCACCCCTTCCCTCTCCCGGCTCCTACCTGCAGGGCTCCCAGCGCGCCTGCGCTCATGGCCAAGGTGGGGAGAGAGTCCAGGTTGTGGTCTCCGTCGGCTGGGAACTTGTCTCTCTGCGGGGTGGGGAAGCTATGAGGGGGGCCCTGCCCAGCTCTGGGGGTCCCCTCGCCCCCCACCACGGGCCTCAGACGCCCCCTCCCCTGTCTGTGCCCCGTTGGAGGCCCCGGTAGCATCCCCCCTGTGCTCGTCTCTCCTACCAGCTGCGCGGCCAGCTGCCGGGTGTCGGCCAGCAGCGCGCGCGTCAGCAGGATGGCGCTGTCCAGCTCGGCCCGCGGGTCCGGGGAGGCCCTTGGGGGGCCGGGGGGCGGCCCTGGCGCCGCGGCTCGGTCTGGCCACAGGCTCAGCGCGGCCAGGACCAGGCAGCAAACACCTGCGGGCGGGAGAGGGCGGGGGGCTCAGGCCCGAGGGGTGGTCGGAGGGAGGAGGACCGGGGGGCGGGGGTGGGGAGGTCGTGCGCCCCGAGGCGGAGGGCGCGGGGCCGGTCGCCGCCGGCGCGGGCTTCCCGCTCCCTCTCCGGCTCTGGCTGCCCCGCCCGTCGGAGCAGACGCGGCCCCGGGCGGGGAGACGGGCCGGGCGTCTCCCGTCCGCCCCCGGACGCCGGAATCTGGGCCCCGGGGCGGGGCGTGAGGGGGCGGCACAGGCCAGGACCTGCCCCCTCCCCGGGCCCGGGCACCGGGCGCACTGAGCGCCGAGGAGGGAGCGCGGGCCCGAGACGCGGGGGCCCCCGGGGAGACGCCCCCGGTGGGCGCGGAGGGCCGGCGCGGCGCGGGATGGCCCCGCGCACCTGGGCGGGAGAGCGGGACCCCGCCGCGCCGCGCCCGGAGCTGGGGCCCAGGCCTCCCGGGCAGCCCATCCCCCTCCGGGCCCACCCCCCGCTGCCCGCAGCCAATCAGCGCCCCCTGAGCCGCCCGGCTCCCGCCGCACACCCCCAGCCCGCCCCCGGGCGCTCCCGCCGCTGTCTGTCCGTCCATCCGTCCGGCTCCCCCGTTTCTGTCTGCACCCCTGCCTCTCCCCTCTTCCTCCTCCCCCCCCCCTCCTCCTCCTTCTGGCTCTCACCTCCTTGGGGTCCCTGCCTCAGTTTCCCTGGGCGTCCTGGGCCCTCAGGGGTCACCTCGCTGCACCGGTCCGTCTGTGCGTCTTCATGTCTCCGCGCCTCGGAGTGTCCGTCTTTCCATCCCTCCGTCTGCCCGTCCCACCCCAGGCCCCCGGCTTCCTCGGACTCTCTCCTCCCGCCTCTGCCTCCCCATCGCGCCCTCTGGCTCCTGTGTGTCCGTCCCAGTCCGCTGTCTGTCTGTCTGTCTGTCTGCTCCACACCCTCCCGTCGACGGTCCCTCCCTCCTCCCTCCGCGGCTCCCCCCCCTCCTCCCGCCCGCCCGCCCCGTAACTTGAACCAACTTACTGTTCATGTCCCCGCCGGGTCGGGGTTCCCCGGGGCAGAGGGCAGGGAGCTGGGGGCCTCGAACCGGTCCCTGTCCACTGCCGGGGCCCCAGGGGTCAGCTGGGCCGGGGCCGGGGCCGGGGCGGCATGTGCGGCGCAGCCGGGCCTGGCAGTGCGGCGGTGCGTTCGCCTAGGGGGTTATATAGGGGGCCCGGCGGGGCGGGCGGGGGGCAGGCGGCAGGGGAGGCGGCCTGACACATCCTGACTCACCTCCCGGCTGCCTTTTCCATTCAGACGGAGCCGGCCGCCTCGCAGGGCTCCGCCGGCTGCTCCGAGGAGGGCACGGAACGAGAAGTTGGAAAAGTTGAAAGGGAAAGGGGGGGGGGGGTCGGAGAGGGGCTGGTGAGGTCATTGGCGTCCCCTCCCTCCGCCGCCCAGGCCGCCGCCGCCCGCGGGGCAGACACACGAGGCTCAGGAGCCGGGGGCCCCGCTGTGGGCGGGGTGGGGGGTCCCCGCTAGACCCCCCGACAGGCAGCGAGCTGGGGAGGCAGGGGGGAGGGGTGACGGGCTACCGAGGGAGCCAGGGGGCGGGCCCGGGGAAATGAAGGCTCTGGGGGGGCCTGATGGAGACAGACAGACAGACAGAGATGGAGACACTGAGACCCAGGCAGGCACACAGGGGACACACGGACATAGGGGGTCGCTGGGGCGAGGCAGAGTCTAAGACAGATGCAGAGAGAGAGAGAGAGAGAGTCCACAGAGAGATGGAGGCAGCCGGGGTGCACTGCAGGAGCAAACAGGACCAGGGCCGCTCAGCCATCAGGGAAGGCAGGCAGCCTCAGAGGTTTGGGGTACCCCTAGGGACCCCTTGGGGAAGAGGGACAGATACAGGGCGACTCAGAGAGAGGGGAGCAGGGGCCAGCAGACAGCGGGGAGCCACCAAGGCAGGCTCGGGAGTCAGCAGTGGTGGTGGTGGGGGGGAGAGCCTGTCTCCAGGTGACAGGCGGGGACAGGGGAGGTGAGAGAGACCTGGAGGCACCCAGCCGCGGTGGGGCGTCGGGCACGTGGCTTCCCCCCTCGGGGCCGCAGCTTCCCTGTGCAGCTGGGGGGGGCCGTGTGCCCCTGCAGCCCCCACCCGCCTCGGTGTGGACAGAAGTGAACTCGTTCGTGTAACGCGTGTACACACACACACACACACACACACACACACACACACACGCTCAGCTCCGCGAAGGCGAGCCTGTGCTGGGTTGGTGGGGTTTTATTAACACATTGGAATGGGGGGAGGTGAGAGAGAATAAGATGGAACCACTGGGAGACCCCGATGGGGCCGTGAGCGAGGCGGAGGGGACGGGGTGCCGCGGGGCTGGGGAGGAGCTGGGAGCACCGACGGCAGGGAGGGCGCCTGCGGAGACGAGGATGCAGCTTCTGCGCTGCAGAGGGAGGCGACTCGGGGACAGCGATGCTGACAGGCGCGCAGGCGGGAGCGCCAGGTGTGCGGCCAGAGGTGGTCCCGGGTTCCAGGCAGAGCCAGTGAGGGACCCAGATAGCGGCCAGGTCCCGGGGGCACCCCACCTCCCAGGGCGGCAGAGAAAGACGAGGCGGGAGGGAGAAGACAGAGGTGACAAGTATTTTCAAAGGGCTCCCGCCGGCCCCCCTCTGGGCCCCAGACTGTGCAGAGCCGGCAGGGGGCTCGGGGTGATGGCAGCTGGAGTCATCCCCCACCTTTGGGGGGGGCAACTCCCCCGTCCCCAGGGAGGTGAGGTCACAGCCCCCCATGGTGGGACATGACCTCATCGCCTCAGGTAGGCAAGCGCGCTCTTTCTCCTCGGCCATGGCCACCCCTGCGCGCCCCCCGGGGGCCTCCCAGCCCCTGACCACCAGGCCTCCACCCCTCAGGGGGCCTACTTCCGGCTGAGTCAGCGTGGGGGGCCCAAGGCTGCGTCAGTGAGGGGAGAACTGACGTAGCCCCCCCTGGACCGGCGGGGGCCAGCCAAGGTGACTCAGGCCACCAGCCTGGGGGGTGGACGGGCCTGAGGGGATGGGGACTGGGCCTGGGGCCAGCCTCAGAGCAACAATAGGGACCTGGTCACAGCAGCCTCCTGCCCTACAGAGAGCCTGGGTGACAGCCCCCCACCCCACAAATCAACCCAGGAGTCCAGGCCCCCAGCCCCTCCTCCCTCAGACCCAGGAGTCCAGGCCCTTTGCCTCCTCCCTCAGACCCAGGAGTCCAGGTCCCCAGCCCTCTTCCCTCAGACCCAGGAGTCCAGACCCTCTGCCTCCTCCCTCAGACCCAGGAGCCCAGGCCCCCAGCCCCTCCTCCTCAGACCCAGGAGCCCAGGCCCCCAGCCCTCCTCCCTCAGACCCAGGTGTCAGAATCCAGGCCCTAAACCCTAGTGTCCAGAAAGGTGGAGGAAGGTGCTACCACAGGGCAGTCTGGGGGATGCTCTGTGGGGGGGTGGGGGGGGATGACAGGGCTGGAGTCTGGGCAGGTCAGCGGTCCCTGGCTGAAGACTGGTTTCCTCATCTGCCTCAACCCTCACCCTGGGCTGTGGGGTCTTCTTCCCCCAGGTGCCCGCAGGAGGTGGAGGGAGACGGGGCAGGTGCAGGACAAGAGGGGGTGTTGTTCAGGACTCCTGGCCTTCCCCGGGGTTGGGGACACTGGGGCTACCTCTGCGGAAAGGAGGGCAAGAACGGCCGGCGTGGCTCAGTGGTGGCGCGTCAACCTATGAACCAGGAGGTCACAGTTCCCTTCCCGGTCAGGGCACAGGCCCGGGTTGCAGGCTTGATCCCCAGCTGGGGGTGTGCTGGAGGCAGCTGATCCATGATTCTCTCTCATCATTGATGTTTCTATCTCTTTCCCTCTCCCTCCCTCTCTCTCTAAAGGTCAATAAAGCCCTGACCAGTTTGGCTCAGTGGATAGAGCATCGGCCTGCGGACTGAAAGGTCCCGGGTTCGATTCCGGTCAAGGGCATGTACCTGGGTTGCGGGCACATCCCCAGTAGGGGGTGTGCAGGAGGCGGCTGATCGATGTTTCTCTCTCATCGATGTTTCTAACTCTCTATCCCTCTCCCTTCCTCTCTGTAAAAAATCAATAAAATATTAAAAAAAAATAAAAGTCAATAAAAAACCATATTTTATTTGTTTAAATTTCTTTATTGATTAAGGTATTACATATGTGTCCTTAACCCCCCATTACCTCCCCGTCCCCCTACTCATTCCCTCACCCCCCTGTTGTCTGTGTCCACTGGTTAAGCTTCTATGAAAAAACACATTTTAAAAAAGTACAGAAAGGAGGGCAAGGAGGAGGGAGGCAGGACGGGGGAGTCCCAGGCAGAAATGGAGACAGAGTCCAGAGTGAGAAGAAGGCAGATGCAGAACCAAGGAACCCTAGAGCCGCAGGGACCAGCTGGGAGGCTGGGGGCCAGGCACAGGGGGAGGCCCGGGGCTGAGGCTGAGGGTGGTCCCCGCCAGAGGCCAGGGAGCCCTCAGGGCGGTCTCGGGGGTCCCTGATCCTGTGCTGGCCCCCAGGCCCCGGGCCAGGCGGGGCTGGCTGGTGTGAGGTCAGCAGGTCCGAGGCTGTGTGTGTGTGTGTGTGTGTGTGTGTCCGTCTGTCTGTCCCTGGGGGGTCCTGTCTGGCCTCTGGGGGGTGACGGGGCAGGCGGGCCGCAGAGGCAGCCCAAACCTGTCATTAGCGGTGAGGGCCGTGACGGTGGGGCCCCCCCAGTCCCCAGCCGCGGTCCTGGGCCGGCAGCCCCGCCCCCCACCCCCTCCTTGATCCCTGAGGAATCCCGGGAATTGGAAGTGGGTCCAGATGATGTTGACACAGGAAATGGTCAGCAGCTGCCCGGCCTCGGCCCCGCAACCCCTCTGACCCCCACCCCCGGCCCCCTGCCGAGCCCCCCTGACCTGTGTCATCTCTGACGGAGGCAGTGCAGGGCCCACTCAGCTCCCCGCAGGATGTTTATAGAGGCCGGGACAGTCAGCCTCCGGGGCTTCCCCAGAAACGCCGGGGCTCCTGGGCAGTTGCCCTCAGACCCACTCCCTGCCCCCCCAACCCTGGCCTCAGATCCAGGAACCCAGGCCCCCAGCCTCCCCCTTCAGACCCAGGAGCCCAGGCCCCCAGCCTCCCCCTTCAGACCCAGGAGCCCAGGCCCCCAGCCTCCCCCTTCAGACCCAGGAGCCCAGGCCCCCAGCCCCTCCTCCCTCAGACCCAGGAGCCCAGACCCCCAGCCTCCTCCCCCTTCAGATCCAGGAGCCCAGAACCCCAGCCCCTCCTCCCTCAGACCCAGGAGTCCAGGCCCCCAGCCCCTCCTCCCTCAGACCCAGGAGCCCAGGCCCCCAGCCTCTCCCCTCAGACCCAGGAGCCCAGACCCCCAGCCTCCTCCCCCTTCAGATCCAGGAGCCCAGAACCCCAGCCCCTCCTCCCTCAGACCCAGGAGTCCAGGCCCCCAGCCCCTCCTCCCTCAGACCCAGGAGTCCAGGCCCCCAGCCCCTCCTCCCTCAGACCCAGGGGCCCAGGCCCCCAGCCCCTTCTCCCTCAGACCCAGGAGCCCAGGCCCCCAGCCCCTCCTCCCTCAGACCCAGGAGCCCAGGCCCCCAGTCCCTCCTCCCTCAGACCCAGGAGCCCAGGCCCCCAGCCCCTCCTCCCTCAGACCCAGGAGCCCAGGCCCCCAGCCCCTTCTCCCTCAGACCCAGGAGCCCAGGCCCCCAGTCCCTTCTCCCTCAGACCCAGGAGCCCAGGCCCCCAGCCCCTCCTCCCTCAGACCCAGGAGCCCAGGCCCCCAGCCCCTCCTCCCTCAGACCCAGGAGCCCAGGCCCCCAGCCCCTCCTCCCTCAGACCCAGGAGCCCAGGCCCCCAGCCCCTCCTCCCTCAGACCCAGGAGTCCAGGCCCCCAGCCCCTTCTCCCTCAGACCCAGGAGCCCAGGCCCCCCTACCTTGTAACCCAGGTGTCCTGAGCCCAGGTCCCTCTTCCCCGCTCTGGACACACACACTCGCTCCCTAGGAGAGCTGAGTGCCCCCCACTCCCTGCCTCCACTGGGATGCAGAGCTGGGCAGAGGTTCACTGGGATGAACTGGGACTATGTCCCGGCCCAGCCCCGACATGGGCCCACCCCTACCTCACCAGAGACCAAACCAAGAGTCTGAGGACCTTCCATGCCCCACCTCCAGTGTGTAGGTGGGGAGACAGGCCTAGGCTGGCAAAGGGTCTCCAGGCCCGTGATCCAGGAGCCAACCTCAGCCCTGGGCCCTGAGAGCCACCTGCCAGGCAAGGCCCGACCGTGCTGCTTACCTATTCCTCCCCAGGGGCCCTGAGTGCCACTGAGGCAGGGGCTCCTGAGCAAGCGGCCGACCCCAGTGTCTCCTGGCCCTCCTCGGTCGCCGGGGCCACCTGGATCCCAGGCAGAAATGATGACAGAGCCCGGGCACTCAGACCCCGGCCTTGTGTTACTAACCAAGGGGCTCTCTGGCGAGGGCCCTGGTAGGTAAGGACGAGAGGCTTACACCCCAACCACCCCCTCTCCACCGGGTGCCAAGGGGGCTCTTAGCCAGACCCTGCCCCACCCCAGGGTCCCTTCCACCTGCTTCTCAGGTAGCAGCTCTCCAGCACCCAGGCATGACCGGGCTACTGTGACACCCCTTCCTTCACTCCCAGGGCTAAGGGGCCCCCTGGCAACAGAACTTAGAACCCTGGGCGCTGGGCGGGCGGGCAGGCGGGGCCCGCTGGTTGCTGGGGGATGGCCTTCAGGGTCTCTCACCAGAGGCCCCAGGAGTCTGGGGAGGAGACATGGTGGGCTGGGGGATCCCAGCCTTGAGCCTCTTCCTGCTGATGCAGGGCTCAGTAGGTGAGGGGCCCGGGGAGAGGGTCAGAGGGCTGAGCCGGGGCCGCCTCAGCCTCCACAGGCGCCTGAAGCCATCTATTTTCCTTCACAGATGGGAATGGAATCCAGGGATTCTTCTATCCATGGAGTGAGCAGTGGAAGGCTCCAGGGTCCCCAAGAACAGGGGCTGGGGGCCTGGGCTCCTGGGTCTGAAAGAGGAAGGGCTGGGGGCCTGGACTCCTGGGTCTGAGGGAGGAGGGCTGGGGGCCTAGGCTCCTGGGTCTGAGGGAGGAGGAGGGCTGGGGGCCTGGGCTCCTGGGTCTGAGGGAGGAGGGGCTGGGGGCCTGGACTCCTGGGTCTGAGGGAGGAGGGGCTGGGGGCCTGGACTCCTGGGTCTGAGGGAGGAGGGCTGGAGGCCTGGGCTCCTGGTCTGAGGGAGGAGGCTGGAGGCCTGGGCTCCTGGTCTGAGGGAGGAGGCTGGAGGCCTGGGCTCCTGGTCTGAGGGAGGAGGCTGGAGGCCTGGGCTCCTGGTCTGAGGGAGGAGGCTGGAGGCCTGGGCTCCTGGTCTGAGGGAGGAGGCTGGAGGCCTGGGCTCCTGGTCTGAGGGAGGAGGCTGGAGGCCTGGGCTCCCGGGTCCACGCAGAGCCTGCACTAGGCAGTGAGCCGGGGAGTCCGGCCTTGGATCCCGCTGCCCCGTGGTCCCGGGCTCGGCCTCTGACACAGCCCCCGTGCCTGGCCCAGGCTGTGAGGGAGACGCGTGGAACCGGGAGAGCTGTGGGGGTCAGGCGGCCATCGAGAACCCCAATCTGTGTCTGCGTCTGCGATGCTGCTACCGAGATGGCATCTGCTACCACCAGCGGCCGGACGGTGAGTGCCCGCGAGCCGGTGGGCCTGGGGCGGCGGCTGGCCGCCTGGCCGCCGGGACCCCGGGGTCTCACAGGGTCCCCGCTTTGTCCAGAGAACATGCGGCTGAAGCACCTGTGGGCGCTGAGCTGGACGTGCGCGGGGCTGCTATTTGTCATCTTCAGCGTCTTCCTGTACTGGCGAGTGGGGCTGGCCCGGGTGGGCTGCCTGGCAGGAGGAGGAGGAGGAGGAGGAGGAGGAGGAGGAGGAGGAGGAGGGGGAGGAGGCAGCGGCCAGGGGCTGGGTCTGAGCGTGCTCCCTCCCTGCAGGTGGGTCAAGAGCCAGGACCTGCTGCACTTCTCGGGCTTCAGGCAATCCAAGCCGCGC